GGACGGTCGCCAATTCATGGGGCGAAAAATGCGCGATCCAATCCGAGTCCTCGCCGAGTGCTGACGTAGCCCTGGGGCCCAATACATGCTCCGAGTGTGTGCCCAAACAATGGTCGACTCGGATAACAGGTGCAGCAGCCACGAGATGGCGCGCACATTTGAAAAGGGTAAATTAACTTATGGACGCATGCATGCCTATGTGTGCGCAGTCAGTTTGCGAGAAGCGAGCCTTGTCGTTTTAACCGGAAAACAAATAAAAAAAGAAGCAAAACAACAGATCATCAAAGTGTCAGGATTTTACCCAAACGTAACAGCCAGCAGTTTGGAACAGATGTCAAGGTCTACAAATTCGGCGCGAAAAGATTCAGAAAGTACAAGCCCCTTTTGGACACGTTTAATAAAATAATGGCCTTGAGGTTGTTAAGACATCTCCATGCGTTTGCAGGTTTTGTTGGCCGTAATTTGCGTGCTAAACTATTCCGCAAAATACGTATAACTTTTGTGTCAGATAAAAACACTTATTCTTATACCTTGGCTTTGTGTCTCCAACCGCTAGCGCTGCGTTCAGTCAGAGACTGAAGACTGGGCGGTGAACTGTTTTTATAGTCTAGGGAAAACACAGTTGTTTTTTTCGTGAGCACCGAGTGTTTCAAGGTGGTCGGCATCTAAAATAGGAACTGTGACCCCAAACACATTTTAATGTTTAAAACCCAAGACACGGAGTACAGAATCCTATTGAACGACGAAAATGTATATTGCATATGTTTACTTGATGCGTGACAACAATAAAATTGTCGTTTTTTATGTAAATAAATTAATACTGTATAATATATGACCAGTGGAGACCATGTGCGTTCTTAATGTGTCAACTTGGCAGGCTCACATTCGTAAGGTAAGTTAAAAAATACGCAACTCAGTTTATCCGGTAGCCCACATATATTTTCTTTTCAGCCCGCACTTAAGTGTCAATATAAGAATGTATTGCACCTTTATGGTTCACTTAAATGTTGTTTGATAGATAGAGTTTTTTATATAAAGGATCTTGTGATGTGGTTTATTGAATTTTTAACGCAATCCATAGTCGGCAAAGTTGTTTTGCTGATTTGTCGCGTGCAGAGATGTGCTATCTTTTCTGCAACCGGAACGATGCGTACTAATATATTCTATGGAGTACGAAGCAAACACTGCTTTCAAACCGCCTGCTGTAATGTGCACTAGTTTATAAAAGAAAGACATTATCGCAGAGTTATTTTGTTGTGGACCTCGTCTGGACATAAATTTCGGATATCTGACCAAACCGACGCCTTTAATTCTAGTGTGTTAGCTGATCCCAGAAGGTTGGGTGTTTTTTGTTTTTTACTCTTTATGACAGAAACCGTTATTTGACTTGGCAGAATCAAGATAGGCTACATTATACCCTTGCGTGGCGCTCTAGTCAAAAACGTTGTTAAAAGAGCTTTTGAAACGTTCTGCGTCCCGCTCAAAATTAAAAAAAAAGAAATACTACTCTTTGTGAGCCTGCTTGCAGCTCAAGTGCACACACACTCTAGCGGTAGTGCCCTCGATTTTTCCTTTATCTGAAATGAAAATCTCTTGCACTACCTCAACCACAAAACAAAAGTTTCATTGAAACAATGTGTTATGTACTATATTGCGGCTAAGAGTAGAGCGATGACATTGCCACTGGAAAAGTGCTTACAACAAGTCCTCCTTGGGTCACACTTATCTAATTAAGGGTTGTTCTACTTCAGGTCACTAGAATTGCGTACTAGTATGGCACTTTTTCCCTAACTCCTTGGATATAAATTGGTCGAGTCTAGGGTACTTCGAAGCTAACATGGAAGGTACACGAGCCATAGCTTCCGACCACTAATATTACTTCCCAATAACCTCATTATCTTTCTGGCCGACGGTTTTATATTTACGAGACCCTCGATGGGCAGTCTCCAAGCTATGATGCAACCCTTTCTGGATAAGTGAGGCCATTTCTTACCCCATCGACTAACTCTGAAGAACGTACGAAGGAGAGTCTTGTTCCATGGAGGAATCTTACATCACAAGCCGCCCCAGGTGGCAGAAAAACTGATTAGCCCGAATCAGTTCTTTTGAACTACGCAAGCAAATATTTTTTCTGCGCATTTGTTGTTTCTTCTTCAGGCAGCAAAAATATTGAGCGTGTGTTAGCTGTCGACGTCATTTGGGGTTTTTTTCTTAAATAAATTGTCATTTTCATGAATTGTGCCGTTTTCTATGCGATTTTTAAGAGTCCTGAATGCAGCTTTTTCTTTCATTCAACGTGCCTCTTTATTTATAATCTAAAATCATCAAGGTACCCGTTTGACATTTCGTTAAGATCAAACTCTCTTTGGAATTTCCTGTTCTTGCCATGTAGGACACTGTCAGGGTTGTCGTTTTTTTTATTTTTCTGAAACTCCAGACACTCGATTTAGAACAATTATCCCACGATGTTTTGTTTTGCTTACTCTTTTTTTAAAGATCCAGCTGCCTTGCAATCGCTTCCATTTGAACGTTCTTGATATCCAACACCATTTCATTTTTTTTCTCATGTGCAGAAATGCCCGCAATGCAAAGAAGATCTGCAACCTCTGTCGAATCTTCAGTATGGTGAGAAATTAGTTTTTAATGGTTATATATTTTGTTTAAGAAAACCTTGTTTTTAATAAAGCAAGTTTCATTTTTCTTCGTGCTAGGCCTTGTTTATTTTAGGATTGCATTTGGAGGAACAGGTTAAAATTTGGATTTAATATACAGCTTTGCAGAAATATTCTTTGTTTATGAATAATCGATGCCCATTCAATAATTCCCCTTAAGGAAGCATGTACTTTCGTGTGTGTGTATGGTGTATTTAACAGAAATTCGTATCGTTCATGAAACCCTTGTAAGCCAGTTAATAACGTATATTTCGTTATTTCAGCTCATTGTGGAAATGGAAAACTTCAGAATTTTTTCTCTTTTCCCTGTTTGTTTTGGCGTGTTCGCCGCGTAGAAGTCACATGGGAACCGCAATATGGGAACCTATTTTCGAAACCAGAGTTTAATTAAATGTTGATAGTCTGTTCTCATGATTCCAAATACCCAATGCAAGTAATGAAGCTGGATAGAATGTTTGATAAAATGCTGAAGCCGCAAGCCGAATAATTTCTAATTTTATTTTTTATTTTTTTAGACGTGTCGGTATTGCGCATTTACAAATGCTGAGAGATGCTCGTAATCGAACGTGGCACGTGCATAATTGAACGTTACAGTGCTGCCTTTATGGTCGTATTGCCTGCAGGGTGTACAGCCAGCATAACACGCTCGCGTCTTGCGGACACGCTCGCGCCCCCTGGCCTTAAGCAACTTGTCTTGGACCATTCTCGACCGACGTTCGTAGTGCTCCTGCTTTTGCGCAAACTTTATGTTTACCATAAAAACCTCGATAGAATTCCTTCCCACTGCAGGTAATCTAAATCCAACGTCTCACCGATTTCTCAGCTTCGGTCTAATAGAGCGAGCTGATAATGTTGGGAGCGCCACCGAGCGCAAGCGCTACGAAAAGGCTCCAGGCGTTCCAAGACGCTTGTCAACTGACTTTGACCTAGTAACTGCCTGGAACGCTTCTCCGACTGGTGTGTTTAGCGTCTCATTCTGCCCACGCATCGACGATTTTAGCGGTTGGTTATAAAATTACTTGCGAAAAGCACGAGCGAACGCGAGCGTCGCTGTCGTTACAGCGTCCCAACTCCTGCCTGCCGAAGCTTACGCTGCCTGTCAAGCTGGAGAGCGAGCTGCAGCAGAAATACAGGCGTCTGTCACACTCACCAGCGCTGCTTTGACGCCGCCATGACCCAACACCTCCTAGACAGCTTCCAAGCCTGCACGTCGCTTGACATGACATCACGTCCCGGAGGCCTGGACGGACGCTGATTGAATTCGAGTGCCGTGTCAGCGTTCGCGTGGGACTATGGTAAGAAACGAGTCCTAGGCGAACGCTGGCGCGGCACTCGCATCCAATCAGTGCCCGTGCAGGCCTCCGGGACGTGACGTCATGTCACGTGATGCGCAGGCCTTGAAAGATGACTAGGAGGTATTGCATGATTGCGGCCGGCGAGATTATGACGCTTCTGTGACGTCATCAGGTGGATATCGAGGGATCGCGTCTTTGGACAGAAGGTAAGCACATGAGTCGGAGACTTGTTCCAGGCACCCTATAGTAACGTTGCCCGAGCTGGCGTGGACGCGACGCGGATACCCAACGACTTCACCGTGATTCCGTGACGCAGCCATAGAGTAATCTACACAAGGGAAAGAGTGGCCACTCGAGCCGTTTCGCGGCCCAGCGTTTAGTTTTCTCACCGACCGCTAAGTGGTGCCAGTGTGCCAAAGAATGAAAATATTTCGTGAGGTTTGTTATAAATAAATACTCAAGTTTTAATTTTATTATATTTAAAATTGTTGCAAGCATCATAAACGGTCAAATAGTTTTTGTTTACTACGTTAAGAAGATCACGTGATGTACGGGCCAGTTCCGGTTCCTGCAGTTGCTCTGAGAAAGCGGCTGGAGTGGCTGGAGCGGGACGGACGGACGGACGGACGGACGCGTGCTTGGACGGCGTGACCGCATGGTGCATGACACCTGTCAACGCGTTTTGTGTTGAGCACATGTGAGCACAGCGAGCAGAATGTGAGCACAACGTGGATATTGTCTGCACCTAACAGGTTTCTTCAGAAGGTAAGACGTTTTCTCATTTCTTTGCTATTGCTTAGTCGCGAGCAAAACACAGCGTGCGCAGACAAGGGCCAGAGAAAAAAGCGAACTGTATCATGTCCGTTTGTTTTACCCGTTATTTGCATGCTCAGAGGTCCAACAGACGCTGCGAAATAAACCTCAGACAGCAGCCGGCTTTTCCCGTGTGTGTTATTATTGTTACATGGGCTGCGCTATCGTACTAAGAGCTACGAATATTTGTGTTTATATCTTTCTTTTTTTTCTTTCTCCGATGCCCTCCGGTTGCTACTACTGTAGCTACTGCTGTGTCACACCGTGTAAAAACAACGGTAAAACGCACAAGAAACCCGGCACAAAGTTTTTCCGAATCGCACGTGACGCAAGGTAGGTTGGCGTGAGCTCCTTCTTGTCAATAGTTCCTTGGAACCATTTGCATACTTGAGCAAATAAAAAAATCCCAATAATTTATTTTTCTTACAATATAATTAAGTAATACAATGCGCTTTTAAATCAAGCGCTAAAGTTGACTGGATGCCTTAACTGTAATTTAGGGATTTGGGCTAAGCGATCTCAGGTCAGTTATACTAATTTTAGTGCTGCATTACTACTTTGTCTTTGAAGATAAAAACTGACAAATTAAACTTATAAGACAAAATTGTTAAGGAAAAGAAGCAGCCCTTGATTTGTCTCATACATAGCTTGGATGTATCGTTTTTAATGTGGCTCTAAATTGGGGTTATAAAGGTGCTGCTTCATGGTGGGGTGAATTTTCGTGCTTTTTTAATGTGGCTCTAAATTTGAGTTATAAAAGCGCTGCTTCATGGTGGGGGGAATATTGCTCTCTACTGATAATGTCTTTTCCTAAAGAAATGTGAATGTGCACCTGCTGTTAACTAGCTATAAAATGACCTGTTGTTGGGCGAGTTGGTGAACGTTAGAAATCATGTTTTTTTTGTGCGAAAGGACAAACACAAGGGTGGACAACAAGCACAAGCGCGCTTGTGCTTGTTGTACTCTCTTGTGTTCGCCCTCTCGCGCAAAAACCATGATTTCTTAGTTGACCTACTTTTGCACTACTCTAGAGCAGGAACCCAAATTTGTCTGTGTGCATTGAAACATCCAAAGCAAACCTGCCAAATAAAAATATGTCTCCATCGCTTGCAAGCGGAGCCAAAATGTCGAAGAGAGGGTTGCAGATTGGCATCTGACATTTTGTTCCAAAGTGTACATTTAACACATTGAAAAACAATATATATTACAGGTCAAAATCTTGGCTCGACTATGCCAAGAGGTATGATCTTCTTGGAAAGTCTGCTTCGCAACACCATGCCACCTATCGCGTCTGCAGTGATCACTTCACTGCAAAAGATTTTATGGACCCAGGGCAAACAACCCTAGTGCGATCAGCTGTGCCTACTGTTCGTCCTCCCATAAACTGGGCATCTGCAATAGGTGATTGTAATAATGTGTTTCCCTCATATACACAAACGTATAAGTAACTTCTCTATGTAGGCTAATAAGCCCATTCTTCCAGGTCCCACTCAGGCAACCAGCTCATCTGGCCCTTCACTCCAGTGCAGCTCCGTCGCAGCGAGCCGTTCTGTGCTTGCTAACAGGTTATCTCGTCATGGTGCACCTTTCCAGACCAGGCAGAGCCCGACAGACTGCAGAATTCACCACTTACATGTAGCTCCGCAGTAATGCACTCTGCAGCACTCGGTAATATAGAGTTATTTTAAAGCACCAGCCTGTGCCTAATATGCGCACTCTTCCAGACCCAAGTCAGGCAACCAGCTCTTCTGGTCTTTTCGCTGGCCACTGTGGTCCAGGCAGTGTTGTACGGAACGGCGTTCCAAGGAACGGCGTTCCTCGAACGCGTTCCTTTTAGGAGGAACGAAGGAACGCCGCCGTTCCATTTTACATCGCTGGAACTGGAACGGGAACGCGTTACATTTTTGCTGGAACGGAAAGAGTAACGGCGTTCCTTTTTTTCGTCCAGTGGGGTGATTTTTATTTTATTTCTAACAGGGAAAGTATGAAAGTACATAAACAATATCTTTACGAAGTGCAGGATCTCGTTAACTTTTTGGCTACTAATCTTATGGATTATTTTGTATGGTCCTCGCTTGCTAACAGTTTGGGTGCAGGAGAGCTGGTGGGAGTCGATATATTTTTGAGTGCCCGAAACTGCGGCACAAAAAGCAAAACTTTTAGTCGTAGGAAAAGACAAAGAGAGAGGGTTGTTTCAAACTCAGCTACTTTCTTTGGTTCCACGAATCCTCATACACCAAGAAATTTTATTGCGACTACAGCCATTTTTGAACTTCAATAACGAGACCTACAATTACAACAAGATCACAGATTGCGAGATATCGGACTCACCCTTGTATCCCGAACATTATTCACTTAAAAGATACACAAAAAATAGCCTTTATTCCTTCTCTTGTCCCCCAGCTTCAAACTGAACAACAAATTTAACCTTCCCAACCAAGTATTTGTAGCTTTCAATACTGACTTTCCAGAAGCTTTGCCCTCTCCTTCACTTGCTTGTCTTGCGGACAGCAACAAGGAGAAGCAACTGTTGTCAAGTTCTAACACGGGACTCTGTTAAATTGAAGCGTGTGAGGTTGTTGTAAAATGCTAGTGCAACCTTGGGTAAAAGTACATTAAATTTGGCTCGTCTGAATTGTCCACTGCAAACATGGACATGGTTAATAGCTGGGATTTTTAACATGCATATATCAACAAATAAAACTTTACTTCCGCGTGTTTTCTACTCCTGGTGCCCTTCCATCCCGACATGCAAACTCGTATGTTGACTATTAATGGGATAGATAAAAAAACTGATTGATTTAACTAAATATGGTAATTAGCAAAAATACAAATGTAACGTATATGTAACGATACGTTCCATTTTTGAAACTGTAACGGGAACGAGTTCCTTTTTCACATATGGAACTTGTAACGGGAACGCGTTCCAAAAATCAGAAGGAACGAGGAACGAGCTTTCGTTCCTTTTTTTGAGGAACGTGTACAACACTGGGTCCAGGTCAACACTGTAAGTGTCCCATTTTGCTTTCGCCACTTTTTAAAACATATTTGTGTGAACCTCTATAGCCAGTGGATAATACAATCTGTCCTAGAAGGATCAGTTTAAAGAATTCTAGGTCTCTTTATAAGCTATAGTCTTTGCTTCATGTGTGTGGCATACCGATCTAACCATTTTTATTACTAATGACTGGGGAGGTGTGGGAAACTGGAACACACATATCAAGAGGAGGTTTCAAGAGAATTCTTCATGGCTGTTTTGCGTTTTTCATGCTATTTCAGCCTTTCGAACTTGCAAGGTTATCAAGAAGTTTGCGTGAAGACATTTAGTACCGAACATTTTACATGACTAGTAAAAGAATAACGTAATTGGTGGTCAGAAGTTTCACTGGCTTTGTCAGTGCTTAAATGGTAAAGCACAAGAAGAAAATTCAAGCTTCACTCCACACCTTACCTGGTATGCTACTGGTTAGTGGTGCTTGTACTGGTTAAATCGTATCGCACTTATTGCAACTGTTTTCAATCTCACTGACTTGTTGCCATTTTTATAGCTGGTCCAAACCATCCTGCACCTGTTTTCCGCAAGCTCACGAAAAGGCCCGAGGACGTTATCAAGCGACTCCAGGCGAGAATTTCCAGCTACAGAAAGGCGATAGCCAGACTGCGGAAACAGCAGCTGAAGACGCCTCAGACAGCTTCTCAAGCTCTGGAAATAATTCGGCCTCATGTTTCTGAAGAGGTATTTCACCTCATATCATCGCATGTAAAGAATAGGTCGAAGGGCAAGGGGAAGCGATTTTTACTGTGGCTGAAGAAATTTGCGCTCCATCTGAATTCGCATGGACCGCGGGCATACCGATTTGTGTCTTCAGTGTTCACGCTACCATATCGGCGTTCACTACGAAGGTGGCTAGCCAATGTCAAAATGACGCCAGGTATCATTCCAGGCATGTCATCGATTGTGTCAAAAACAAAGTCATGGAATGAACGCGACCGCATTTGTACCTTAGTTTTTGACGAGGTGATGTTGAAAAAGAACTTGTCATACGATGTGGCGCAGGATGTTGTCCTCGGATTTGCAGATGATGGTGTTGAGCGAACTTCCAGTATTGATGACAGAGCCCAGGTTTTCCTCCTCTCTGGAGTTTCTAGGAGGTGGGTGCAACCTGTAGCATATACTATTGGGCATACGTCAACACCATCCTGTGTAACTCGTAACCTGCTTATGCCACTGATTGAGCAGCTGAAGGACATTGGCATTACAATCAAAGCAGTGGTCTGTGACCAGGGTGTCTCCAACGTAAGTTTGGCGCACCAACTTGGAGTGTCTGTTGAGCAGCCATTCTTCAAAGTAAAAAATGCAAGTGTCTATTTTATTTTTGATGTCCCGCACCTGATAAAGATCACCCGTAACAACCTGCAAGCTTACAAGCTTCACATCGGGAGTGAAAATGTAGACTGGAACTACATTGTGCAACTTTACCACTCCACGCACGAGATGCGACTACGATTAGCTCCGAAGCTGACAGACCGGCATATTTACCAGAAACCTTTCAGTAACATGAAGGTGAAACGTGCGACTCAGGTCCTCAGTTCATCAGTATGCGTTGCACATTTAGCTCTTGTGTATGCCAGACAGCTCCCTGAGGCGGCCATTTCCACGGCATACTTTTGTGACCGCATGGACAAACGTTTTGACTGTCTTAACAGCTCGAGACAAAAAGAATCTGAACAAAAGTTACGCTATGCGATTAGAAAGGGCGACACTGAAATCGTTGATTTCCTTTGCAACCAACTTCCATGGGTGGCAGCCTGGAAGTTTGAGGGTAGACGGCAGCCACAAACAGTCACTGGGTGGCAGGTTACTATCAGGGCCGTCCTCGTGCTCTGGGAGGATATTTCTGAGAAATATAACTTCAGCTTTCTTTTGACACGGCGACTGCAGCAAGATGCCGAAAATATTTTCGGGCAGATGAGGCAACAACACGGCTGCAACACCAATCCTAATGTGTATCAGTTTACTTGTGGACTGAAGCACATTGGGATTAAGAAGCTCCTAAAGCTCTCGAAAAAGGAAAATGTTGAAGATGGCAACACTAACCTCCTTCAGGAGATGACCCCGTTTTCACTAGAGACAACCTCAATCGCTGATGCCGTGGAATGTGCCCCCGTGGACGACTTCCCTCCATTGGACGATATTTCGGAACTCGCATCAAGTAAAGACTCTAACATAATAGACGACTCTGCCACCTATTATGTTGCAGGATTTCTAATCAAGCTGTTCCTGGAAAAAAGTTCATAGGATTGTCTCTGTTCTGGGTCACTGAGGAAAGGGTCTGACAACTTGAACTGGCCCCACCAGAATTTTACAATGCTTAAAGCCTTCCATATTCCAAGAAAGATGTTCGGCAACTTAACTGTGCCATCGGAGGCTACTTTCACTTACATTCAGAGCCTGGAATCTCACTTTATGTGTGTTATAGAAAGCGTAGCACACCTGCGCAATGTCTGTGATGTTTTGTATCACCATCTGGTCGCGTATTGGTTTTTTTGCATTTATGCTCCGAGGAGTGTCAGCGGAGGTTTTTGAAGATGTTTTGCAGGGTGCGGTTGTGCTGGCATGTGCGCTTTATTAATCGAAACTTGGAAAAAGTTCGGTTGCATTCTTCTGTTCCTGGCGCTCAACTCGACAAGTTCAAAGCTTAGTATGGTATGGTGTTTCAGGCGCCTATAAAAGAACGATCTTTAATTGGGTTGGGCAGTTTGCATGCCGATTATATTTCTGGCTTTCTTTCAACTTTATAATGCAGGACATAGTTTTTTATATACGGGATGAGGACGTTTTGTAGCAAAGTGATCTTTGATGGGTGCGTGCGTGGAGTATATGCCGAACATGTCAGACATGTTAATGTTTTAATCAATGTGCCCTGTATATTGACCAAATGTTGTGTCTGTTACTGTTACTTTGGTAACAGAATTTTTGTATATTTAGAAAAAATCTGTTACTTTGGTAACAGATTTTTTGTATATTTTTATTACCTAACACTGTTAGGTGGTTTGACCTTAGCTGCCTGTTCTTGCTGTAATTTTCCACATGCCCTGTACTAGCATTGCTATATTTTCTGCTGTACACTCATTCTGTTGAATATGGATGGGAATGTTGAATATTCCCTGGGTCTGTATGAGGTCCTTTTTGTTAGCCTACAAGAAGTGTTAGGCTACTCCAAATAGTGTACTGTATATTGACATTGAATCTGCTTCTTTGAATTCTGTGCAGTCTAGGCTGTGCTCTAATAGCGTAAACGAATTAATCTTCGCGTGGACCTAATTTTCGCAAATATCGCGATTTGATCAAGTTCACAAGAAATTGGTAACGTGAATAAGTTGCCCTATGGATATGAATACATGCAATGTCACTCACGGTGGTGAAAGTTTATGCCCGCGAAATATTCCCGAAACTGGCACATCGCTAAATGTCGAGCTCGCAACAATAAGTCGCTTACAGTACTTGTTAATGACAGCTATGGCCACATGTCCACATTACTGAAACTGCTCAGCATTGTGACAACCAATGATTAATTCAATCAAACCGTTTAGCATCACTGGAAAGTTCTGGTTTGGAGTGTTGGTAAATGTGGGACTCTTGTAACGTTACTTTATATGAATGTGTGTGCCCTCATGAAGAACACTTCGCGATTCTGAATTGTTCAAGCGTTCAAGTCTGTTTATGATTGACCTCAAAATAAATCATTCTGAAGCACTTTTTGTTGTTGCCTGAAAATACTTCGTAAACACGTAAACAAACGGAAGCAGTATGACAAGAATCGATATCTTAATATTTCACAGTAGTAAAGACAATAATTTCTGCTCTTTCGTGGTGTGAAGCCTCTAATCAGAAGCATTTGTGCCATCAAGAGAAGCCGCGCGACAGCAAGCTCGGCAAAAAAAGCGCCGGAAACGAAACCGAAACTGAAACCACCGGAACCGGAATCAAGAGAAAGCTTTTCTCATCGACCGTTTGGCGCGCTAGTTGTTATACGGGACGCTGGGGCCTACGGCAGTGTCCGCTCTTTACCTTGTGTAGATTACTCTATGACGCAGCAATCGTCATGACGCGCCACAGCTATTGACCTGACGTGCCGTGACGTGACGACTCCGCCGCGACGTGTCGCGTCTATCGCTCTGACCCTAATGTGAATAAACGCGGGACTGTCCAATATTTTATGCCGGAGTGATCCATACGTCTAGCGATCGCGGTCATGTTACGTTTACCTATTTCTATACCAAACCAAGAGCGCATGGCAGGGTCAGCCTTTCTTATACTTTCTTTTGTTTATAACGGCGGTCCTCGTATTCGCTTCTGTTGATTAGCATGACTGTAGGGTGACTCGCAGCTCATCTAACCCCAACTCTGCCAATTACACCGTGTCTAAGTGTATTTGGTTTTGGTTCTTTCTATTTGTGTGCGTATAAAAAATGCTTGTGGTGAGAGGATAAGAGGAAGGTGAGGGAAGGGCCAACGTCTCGCGAAGTTCGGGCTGCCTAATGAGCAATCAGCTCTCCCCGAACCTTACATCCAACCCAGAGAAAGCGCCTCAGGTGACGTAGGCTGTACCAAAACTTCTTTTTTTTTTTGTATATGTATATTTTTGCGATAATGTTCATTATGCGTCAAATTGCATGCATCTCTCTAAGCGTGTGTCTGCATGCAAGGGAGCGCATGTGTTATTAATAAAATACGAGATAGCATTGTCAGAAAGTTAGGAGAATGGAGATGAAATTTATGGTGGCGCCAGCCTGTGGTCGGCCGTGTTGCTGAGCTGTATAAAAAATGAATTAATCAAGTTTTTATCGGGGCTTCAATAATAAACCTCCCGGACGGATTCTTTTAGGGGATCTCTTAGTCGTTGCTTGCCTGTCTTTATATGGTAGACTAGTAATGTTGTCCCCTGATGTCACATTTGTTTTGGTGCGTTTTTAATATACAGAAGACAAAGAGATCTGCCAACAAGACAAATTGCAATACATTTTTTAATTCACAAACACAACAGAAATAAAAAAAAAATTGTTTACACTCCATTAGAGCAAGTTCTAGCACAGCTATGTCAAATGAATTAAAATTAACTGTTAGGCTAGTTGGTTAAACATCTTAATTACAAAAGCGCAAAGGACAAGGACAGGACAAAGAATGAACAGGACAAGCGCTTACTAACAACTGATTGTTTAATGCATAATAAGAGAAAGACGAAAATGAGAGGAGATGTGATAAATTAAGACTCCAATTGTTTTCCAACTTAAAATGATTAAAAATTATTTGAGAAAAATTAGGACTGATAGAAAAATAAAATTAAAGAAAAGCATCCAGATTAAGAAAAAAGGTTGAGGTACCCTATCTCTTTCTCAGACAGTGAAATTGATGGTGTGCTAATGCACGTGTCCCCTTCCTCGATTATAGTTTTTGCCTCGAAAATCTCTCTGGCTCTCTTGCTCCGAACGTGTTTGAGTATTTGCGTTTGATTGAAAAGGGGAGTGCACTTATGGTCTCTGGCATGTATGGCCAAGTGTCCAGATGGTGACGCATGCAGGGAAAGCTCATGCTCTCGTAGTCGCACATTTACGGAGCGCCCAGATATACCGACGTACACTCTCCCACATGTGCACGGAATTTCGTAAACGATGTTGACGTTGCAGTTGATATATTTATGTGTGTGCTGGACTGAGCAGTGTTCTTGTCTTTTGTTCTGGGAGTTGATTTTTGGACACAGTTTTTTAAGTTTGTCAGGAGCTGATATTACAACCTGTACGTCATATTTTGACGCTATTCGTTTGAAGTTGTGTGATACTTTGTGTTGGTAGGGTATCACTGCCGGGCGCCGTGTCTTATCTCTTCTTCTTCTTTCATTGTGAGTGGTCAGGCTCTCTGCTACATCGAACATTAAAGAACTGGTATACCCAGATTCCTGTAGTTTTTGAACTTGTGCCTCAAA